ATATTCTTTTTGACCCGCCCGCCAAGTTTCTGATCCGTATAGAAAGGCTGACTGACTTGACGTTTGTATTGAAAATCCGACCGAATTTTGTTGTTGATTCTGGCTGAGTGACGAAGATTTCCAGATTGGTTTCCGGCTGATGATGTTGATGTGTTTCTCGCTCGATTCGACATCCTCGTCCGTTCCGACTTCGTGTAGTTGAGACAATCCTCCCTAGATAAGTGAGTGAATGAAGTAACCTCTTTCAAATCCCTCCCGTTGATGGTGATTAGCGCTGGATGTTGCTGTTGTTGGTTGGTTATTTTCATAACCTCCGTCTTGTCCATGTTCACCTGGAGTCCTGTCTTCGCCGGCTGCTTCTTCGACCAGTTTGTCAGTCGGTTTTCGCTTGTAAGTCTTCGATTTTGTGTGACATCAAACATAAATCATCGCCACGCGAAATCCAGGTCTTCTAGGTTCTTCACGTAGGTCGGTCCAGGATATCCCTGTCTTCTCGTTTCCCACTGTCTGACGCGTGATCCAGTCCACCACAATTAGGAATATCATCGTGGGCGATAATAAGCACCCTTGTCTAGCTCCTGTGTTTACTCCAAACGCCTCGCTGAGTTTTCTGTTATGGATCACTTGACATGTTCCGTTGTCGTACAGCTGTTGAACAAGGTTGATGAATATTTGGAGTACGCCGTAGTACTCGAGTAATTTCCAAATTACTTCCCGATCAACGCTGTCTGTCGAAGGCCTTCTCGAAGTCTATAAAGTTGAGGTAGAGGTTTGATTACCATTCCATGCTTTGTTCTGTGATGATGATGCTTAGAGTTGCAATTTGGTCATTACATGATTTACCTTTCCTGAATGCAGCCAGCTTGTTCTGGTCGATGTTTGGGTGGGCATTATTGTAGATTTGAAGCAGGTTTTTTAAATCACATTTCTCATCACATATAATGAAAGTATCATCGATGTTTCTCTTGTAAAGATGGAAGTCATCGATAGTTGGTGATAAGGCGTTGTTTTCTACGCTAGCCATAAAGCAGTCGGCTAGGAGGGGTCCTAAGGGAGAACACATTGCTACTCCATCTACTTGCCTGTTTATTTCCTTGTTGAAACTAAAGTAAACGTTGAAGGTGCATCGTGTATATAGTTCAGTAACAGAACCTCTCGTCAAATCAGGGCATTTAGTGCCTTTCGGAAAATTCTTCCTAGTAATATACGAGATTCAATCAAACCTATCAAGGGGATTGAAATTAAGACATCTGGGCATCACCGAGGCACTAGCTATCCAAAAGCTCAAACATACGCTTTGTATCCAAGAGAAATACGTCCAACCCCTGCCACTGCCATGGCCATCATAAACAGGTCAGTTGTTTTACTAATGACCATCCCATCACCGTTTTTTATCTAAGCTTCCTGGTTGTTCATGTTATTCTTTAGTTTTCCTTAATCCCTATTTGCACTACGATATTTTGTCATTTTATTATTTCTACATTTTTAATCCCTGATTGCATAAACAATTATTCGTCACATTAGTTTTTTTAGAAAATCAAAACAAGTGATTCAGCGAAGAGACTCTTTTCAACGAATTTATCATCAAGCTGTACAGTCGTATATATATGGTTTATCAGAAGTTATATCCGGTGAGGGAATTGAATCTTAGGTGTGAATACATAAAATAATAATAATAATAATAATAATAATAATCATATGAAGTTCAATTAAAACTAAAATGTTTGTGATTATAATCGTAGTTAAATGTCAAGTGGCAAAGCAGATTAATGTCATATATAGAATAATTCATAGGAGGGATAGAACTTGAAAAAGGATGTGCAATTATAGGATTAGTAGGCAAATCGAATAAAACAAAAACGTTACGTAATATTGTGTGAAATTTAATAGCATAGAATTTATCGTTGTAAAAAAGAATTGATTTAGAATGACAAGTGGAACGAGTGAAATAATACCGGGGACAGTTCAAAGTGAGAATAGTAATAATAACAATTGACATAATAAGGAAAAGTATACAAATTGAATAGACAAAATGAAAATTGAAAAATTGGTAGAGCTAAAATATGATTGGGGATTACCATATTTTAGCATAGAGGGATTAAGACCATGAAAGTTGGAGGGGTTGAACGAACTTTTTTTGTACACAGAGATCTGGCTTTTCTGTTTCGATAGCCAAAGCTTCAGCAATACAGATGAGTCGGGTACGTAGGGATTTAGGTAGATTGCTCTTTGCCTTGTAGATGACTTTAAAGGCATCTGTTACTGAACTATATACACGATGCACTTACGGACTCCTGCAATCAATACCTTAATGCTAGACCAAAAATGCAAAGTCTTCTTACTAAACAGCACAAAGAAGAACTTAAGCTTTTGACGCATAACAGCGATATACTATTAACACGCCCTGACAAGGGTACAGGTGTTGTTATTATGGATCGAAAAGATTATATCGATAAAATGTCATGTCTACTTTCAGACAGCAGTAAATTCTCGAAACCGAACGAGAAAAACAAGACGGAATTAATTGAGAAACAACTTACTGATACTTTAAAGAGAATGAAGAACAATCATCTCATTCGTGAAGAATTATACGAAAAGATCAGACCAACAGGATCTCTAATACCAAGACTGTATGGTCTACCGAAAATACACAAAGCTGGAGTTCCACTTCGCCCTATCTTGGATATGTCTGGATCGCCCTATCATCCAGTAGCTGGGTGGTTAGCTGAAATCCTCGAACCAGTCAGGGGGCAACTATCTAATCATTCCCTTCGGGACACCTTCCAATTTGTTGAATGTATACAGGATATAAATGCGTCGAATAAACAAATGTTGTCTTTGGATGTAGAATCCTTATTTACGAACGTTCCACTGACAGAGACCATATGTTTTATATGCAAATATATTGAAGACAACAAATTGAACATAGGGATACCTACTACAGATCTTAAAGAACTACTTTTGAGATGTACATTGAATGTACAGTTTACTTTCAATGAAACAATCTACAGGCAGAAGGATGGTATTGCGATGGGTTCTCCCTTGGGTCCTCTCCTTGCAGACGTTTTTATGTCCAGTCTAGAAAATGGTTCCCTGAAGCCTATGATCCAAAGCTTTCAAATATATAAAAGGTATGTAGATGACACCTTTATTATTTGTAATATTGATTGTGACCTGAATAATATATTAAGTGTATTTAATGAGTGCCATCCTGCGATAAAATTCACACTCGAAATGGAGAACGAGTCTAGCATTCATTTCCTCGATGTGAACTTATCAAGAAGGACCGATGGAACTCTGAAGAGATCGATTTATCGTAGGCTGTTATGGAATGGTCAACTGACAAATTTCTATAGCTGGGTACCTATTGGTCGTAAACGAAACCTGGTCCGGTCGCTTGCCACTCGTATTCGGCGCATATGTAGCACTGATACTGTGGAAGATGAGTTATACACTTTGAGGAAAATCCTAATGGAAAATGGATTTCCACCACGTTTTATAGATAAGAATATACATTCAAAGCCTACAAAACGTGACTTATCAACCGCTCCCAAGAAAATACTTTACATGAGCTTAGAATTCAAAGGGGACTTAGCTTCCGATATCATGAAACGAAGGATATCACAGTCCCTGAAAAGAACATTCCCTGCTGCCTCCCTGAGAATAGCTTTTACTAGCCGACCATTATTGTTCAATAACCTGAAGGACAAGATCCCAATGTTGACCAACTCTATGTGCGTTTATCAATTCACCTGCTCTTGTGGAGCTAGGTATATCGGTCGTTCGACTCGAGTTTTGTCCAAGAGGGTGCAAGAACATTATCCTGCATGGCTACGAAAAGGTGGAAGTGGAGCAATAAGAAGCGCGATCATAGAACATCTGGTCGAAAATGATCACCCTATCTCTATAGCCTCCGCCTTTAAAGTCATCTACAAGGCAAAGAGCAATCTACCTAAATCCCTACGTACCCGACTCATCTGTATTGCTGAAGCTTTGGCTATCGAAACAGAAAAGCCAGATCTCTGTGTACAGAAAAAGTTCGTTCAACCCCTCCAACTTTCATGGTCTTAATCCCTCTATGCTAAAATATGGTAATCCCCAATCATATTTTAGCTCTACCAATTTTTCATTTTTCATTTTGTCTATTCAATTTGTATACTTTTCCTTATTAAGTCAATTGTTATTATTACTATTCTCACTTTGAACTGTCCCCGGTATTATTTCACTTGTTCCACTTGTCATTCTAAATCAATTCTTTTTTACAACGATAAATTCTATGCTATTAAATTTCACACAATATTACGTAACGTTTTTGTTTTATTCGATTTGCCTACTAATCCTATAATTGCACATCCTTTTTCAAGTTCTATCCCTCCTATGAATTATTCTATATATGACATTAATCTGCTTTGCCACTTGACATTTAACTACGATTATAATCACAAACATTTTAGTTTTAATTGAACTTCATATGATTATTATTATTATTTTATGTATTCACACCTAAGATTCAATTCCCTCACCGGATATAACTTCTGATAAACCATATATATACGACTGTACAGCTTGATGATAAATTCGTTGAAAAGAGTCTCTTCGCTGAATCACTTGTTTTGATTAGTTTTTTTATCCAAACATCCTGTCTATCTATTTTTGTTATTTCTACATTTCTAACCCCTAATTGCACAATGTCAATCTTCTCAGTTATTATGATGCTACTTTGTTTGAGTTTTATCCGTCCCACGCCCCGTGTTTATTGTGGCATTTTAATTCCTAATTGTAATTTATTAATTTGACCCTTAACCGGAAATTATTCTGGAACTTTCCCATCCATTTGATATAAATACACGAATGTACAGCCTTGTCGTTGATGACTTCGTCGAAAAGAAAATTTTCTTCGCTACAACTGTCTTCTTAATAACTCCTAACTAATTTTTATTTTTGTCTGACAATCCTACTGTACACACACACACACACACACACACACACACAAGATATAGATGCGATTGTGTACAGCTAAATGAATGAATTCGCCGGAGAAAACAGAGACTCTTCACTGAACATTTTCGTTTTTATGTTCGTGTATTTTGATTGGCCAGCCTAATTTTGACATATGCATATTTCAAGGTCATATAAACTGCCAATCAGGAGCAAGCAAATTTTTAAAATTTCATTTCAAGATAGTTTTCTTCAGTTTATGAAACTTTTACACTCATTGTCTTTCAATTTACATGATAGTAATCATAATCAATTAATCATTGAATGTAATTCAACTGCTTCATGAAGCCCCCTTGCTCTCATTGACTCCTATCTTCATTCAATCTATATTCCTTATTTCAAAAAAGGATCATATCCCTCCCGCCATTTTAATGCATTTAAACTGCAAATTAAAATGAGAAAATCAAGAGGAACTATAATTACCTCTTCAATTAATCCAAATAGATCAACCAGGAGGTTATATTACTATCTATCAGCTGGAATAATAATTTTTTTATGCGTATATGTAATATACCAGATTAACACATCCTCAGTGATTATTTTGAATGGTCTGTTTGACCCAATCTGTCAGTATAAGACAAAGGTGAGTCAGTTATGATCCTTAAAACAGGTTGTAATTGATTTATATTCATATTTAACTGCACTGATTAGAATTATTTTGATATGTAAGTTCTGCTGGATGTATGTGTTGACGTTATTTGAATTTTCAAGCATTGGTTTTGTAGGGATTTCGTTTGATTGCTGTTTCGTCAGACTAGTCTGGGACTCTTCATCAGTGCTCACCCACATTGAGGGTTTCGAAGAGTTCCAAACTAGACTGATGAAATAGCTGTCGAGTACTTCCTGACTGGTTTCCCAGTGGTTCTCTAACTGTGATGTCAGCTCATGATGAAATCCTCCATCCAATCAATCAAACACAAATCCCTACAAAACCAATACTTGAAAATTAATATGATGCTCACTAGCGACTAGCCCTATTCAGGTAGGTAGTTGCCTGGGTTCTAGTGGAAAGTCGTGACCAGTAGGGTACAGCAGGTTGAAATGAGGTAGTAACTCATAGAAGAAGTCATTTTGAAATGGTTGCGCTATGCCATGAATTGGCAGAAGTTAGAATTCAAGGATCAGAAGGTCCTGGGTTGAAACCCCGTGGTGTGAGCGCGTGCTGATGAAGACTCCCAAACTAGGCTGACGAAACAGCTGTCCAGTACTCCCAGGTAATTAGGATTCTTAAAAAAGCTGTGACTGCAAAGTGCAGGGGGATAACTGCGTCGGTGGCACAGTGGTTAGGACTCTCGCCGACCATGCACATAGTCCGAGGTTCGAGCCCACGCCGACGCACACCTGATATCTATGGTCGGCCTGAGAAATTTGGGCTACCGATATCCACGCTGAAAATTCCATACTTGTACCAAAAATACTGTGTGGAATCAAGCTGTAATCAAAAAATAGAAAAATAGAAAATAGATAAAGACGGTCACACACACGCACACACGACTCGTTTCATCTGATCTTTGGAGTTATGCCCTTTTAAAGTCTTACCACCAGCTATGGACTACCAAGAGGTAAATTGGGCTATCTTTGAATTATTTTTTTTATTTTTTTATTTTTGATTTACAGCTTGATTCCACACTGTATTTTTGGTACAGGTATGGAATTTTCAGCATGGATATCGGTAGCCCAAATTTTGCAGGCCGACCATAGATATCAGGTATGCGTCGGCGGGGGTTCGAACCTCGGACCATGTGCATGGTCGGCGAGAATCCTAACCACTGTGCCACCAACGCACTTAGAAGGCGAATTTTGCAAGATGACGGTTTCACTTCATAGTTTCTCTACAATCGCTTTACAACGAGCATGGGTCACAGTAATAAAATGAGCTGGATGACAATAATCAGCTTCCAAGAATTAGTTTGTAGGGATTCCGTTCGCTTTAGGTTAGACCAGTGATTGATATCCATTAGAGAACTACTGAAAATAAGGTAGTACTGGACAGCCAGTTGTTTCCTCCTGAATTGTGACTCATCGGAAGTACGAACCCACAATGTTTCAAACCCAGGACCTTCCAGTTACCATACAGCCACTGAGACGTGATTCAGTGGTCAGCCGATGAATTCTAATTTCCACCATTTCATGATTTTAGCGAGAGCACCACCCAAACTAAGCTTACGAAACAGTTGTCCAGTACTCCCTGTGGCTGGTTATCAATGGTTCTCTAACTGATATCAATCTGCGGTCTAACCTCAAATTTCTCAGTTATATAAAATAAGAGTACATACTAATGACCAATCATATTTAAGTAGGTCAAGTAGTCCATGGTAGGACTTGTAGATACCCTTTGATGTAGAGTCTACAGAATTTCTTAGAGCGGGGAGACAGCGGAGCTAGCTTGCTGGTCGTCTGAAGGAGAAACCTTAACGTTGTTAAATCTCACTTTGGCAGTAGCATGATTCTAGAGTAAACGATGGAAACTATGATGCTAACTACTTTTAGTCCAACAGCTAACCAGTCGACCTTTCTGACATGGTAGGAGCTTAAGGGATATTTCTCCTAACGTTTGTAACTCGTTGGGTCACTTCAATAAATCAAGGTTAATCACACTATTAAGGTAACAACTGTAGGCTTGTGCACTGTAGTAGAGTATAATTCCATTGTGGGTGAAATTTATTTTGATGAAGTCTCACAATGTCATACAGTAATATATACTGATGACTTAATTCAATTTTAGATTTTTCCGTCGATTGATTGGACTGAAGTACTCGATCTCAGGTTAACATGTCTATCGGCTTCTTGTTCAGATGCTTTGACAATGTCTTGGCATTTAATTAGAAGTTAATTAGTGAATGGTGACCAACAACGGAATCCAAGATGTGCATTTCGTCCTATTTGGGACTCGTCCTGCAGCTGGATGTGCCTGCTTTCCCCAGTAAGTGGTAATGTTCCCACAGAGGCTAAAACCCAGTGCCCAAAGTTTCAAACGCCAAAGCGTTACTACTGGTGACGTTTTGAGCACAATTTATTGGTCATAATTATATCAAGTGATTTGATATCAAAATAAATTTTATCCACAGTTGGATTCTTAGGATTAGGTACTTGAAGCTGCTACTTTTGTTAGTGTGTAGTATTGGTGGTTCCGGGGAAAAGAATCACTGACTGGTGAGTTAACACATCCAGTTGATGAGTTTCAAATAGGAAGAAATATGACTAGTGGATTCAACCACTAGACAGAACCAAATGACTAACTGATATCAATCAGTGTGATCAAAACTTTTATTAAACTGAACGTCTTTTAATGCAACGGTGATCACAGATTAAGAGAGAGGGTGTGTGTGTGTGTGTCAAAGAGCATACAACGAGTGACAGAATATGTATTCACCAGTCTGTCAACTAACATATAATAATAACAATATACAGAGAGATTTGAGAGACATAAAAATCAATCAACAGATTAAATATTGATTCCATATAATTTAGCAGGCATTATCTGAGGGAGCTAAAATTGACTGATATACCGAATATGAATCCTTATATCAATAAGACCATACCACTTGAATAATAATGAACCATCGGAAATGAAACCTCCTGAATTCCTCGTTTGATTACTATTGTTATTATTATTATTCGATTGTTAGTATTCCACCGGCTTCCGAGTGGAATGTAGACATTCAGAAGCAAATCTTCATTACGTCCTTTCCTCTTCAGTTATTTATAGCTGGCCTCACAACCACCCATTAGATTTCATTATCCTTCCCATAATATCTCTTGCATGTTACCCTGACAATGATACCTGACTCATTGTTTCGCATTCGGGTCCCACTCAAGTGATGGTCTGGCGCATGATATCACCCCATCGTAGCCTCAGTGTTTGTTCGATCATTCACCATTTTTCAATAAAGAAAGGAAGAGGAAATTTGCAGTATAAAATGATATCATTCTATTTCACAGGTTCTCATCAGCTGTAGACTATTTGAAATTACAATGATCATATATAAATGATAATAACATACTTAATGTTTGAGTGGTAGTAGAGAAGAGATAAAATTGACGCATCCAAAATGCAAGCAGCATTACTATTTTTAGTTTAAGGTTTTCACCATCAATTTATACGCTTTTAAAGTTGAAAAGAGGGGGAGGGGTAAGACAGAAAACAGAAAAAGATTGACTAACAGAAGAGTGTTAGCTTGTAGGTTCAAATAGCAACTCAAGAAACAAAAGCGGTTACAGTTTGTGAGATTAAGATTTGTTCAGTGAGTTGAGATCACTGAATTAGATGACTAATCAAAATCAAAATTCTGTTACCAATGGAGTGAGAGGTTAATCACACTCTCTTTCTGTATGCATAAGTCTGGTTTAAGTCGTTTGATTGCGATTGCTTCGGCAAATCGTAGTGAATTTGCTGTTCTTTATCTATTTAATATTTTGAAGGACTTAGAAATCTCTACGAGATGTCCAGTATGAACAATATGCCTGGTAATTGCACTCTGAGAATATTTGCTTCCTTTCAAGCACAGGTTTTTGGGAATTTGTTCAGAAAACCGGATAGAAGCCCTTCTTTCTGTCCTTTTAATGTACTTGCTCCAGTAAACTCAGTTGGAGGTGACATCAGCAGGGTATTTATCCAGTTTTGAGTGGATTAAAGAAGACGTAGTGCCGTATACTGTTATGAGTTTTTCTGCCGGGAAGCTTCTATTTATTGCACCTTTCAGTTTCTTGTCAATCTTTTGTGGCACTGCATCTCCTTTGAATGGGAGACAAATAAAAAAGAGAAAAGTGTTTTTTTGTCTCACATTCAAAGGACATGCAACGTCACAAAAGATTGACAAAAGACTAAGAGGTGCAATAAATAGAATCTTCCCGGCAGCAAAACTCATAACTGCATTTTCTTTTATGCATTTGTTAATCAATAGATTCTTGATTGATATGTTTCTAGAGTTACTTGTTGATAATTTCTTCTGGCCTGCCATCTGACCTTTAGTATGCAGTTAGTGAAGACCGTGTGGTTGATAAAAGTCTAGAGCAGTAGGCTGTTGGAAATTTCTTTCATGACATATCAAGTTCCTGATACACACTAGAAAACTGGCCGATCTAATGGTGATGTTAAGAATCTGAATTTTGTTTCTTTAGTGCTGGTTGAGTGTAGAAGATTTGCTAAAGTGCTTTCACAATGATGAAGGTCTCGTTTTACGTACCGATCCTGGCTGGCCGTGACATCCTCATATATCCCTCCTTCATGAGTTGAAACGATACTGCCTAGTTTACTGAAGGAAATGACATCTTTCACTCAGCATTCCATTAGAGCAACAGTTCACTACAGACATGTTAAGATTTATGTGTGGTATAATGCTTCCACTTATTTGAAATACGCTGTTCGATGATATTTTAACTTCTACCAACAGTTGATTTTGGTGATATGATGGTCCTCAGCCTAATCTAAAATGGGATCATTAACCTTAAAAATAAAAAAATTACAATTTTCCAGCCACTTTACATTACTTACTTTACTTTACTTCGGCTATCTCCTACGGGAGGATGAGCCGGCTTCATGAACGTCTCGAATCATCGCTGCCCAGGCGCGGCAATTTGTAA